ACAGCTCATGAGCAACTGCTGATCTTATAAAGTCTGGATTTTTGAATGCGTGTCTACGCGCGTGGGAATAACGGAACTCTCGAAGGGTTTTACATGAAAACAAGCCTGGTGATCTCTTCTTTTGATTGATTTAATATAATATTATTATTGAGAGGAAACGTCAAAAAAAAAAAAAATTCTACGGAAGGAAATTTGCACTTTGTGCAAACTGTCGTTTTTTCAAGTTTACGAGAAATCGGCTCCGTAAAATTATTTTAAAATTGTTGTGCATTTTCATTTTTAGATGTCAAAAGCTATTGATTAAAAAACACTCGGGGTCACCGGGTTAATTTTTTAGTTATTAGTGACATAAACGAAAAATCAGGTCTTCCTTTTGGAATGTTGCCATGGTAACTGCTGACGACAGAATAACAGCTGTTTCAGGTCAAGTATAAATTATATAATCCAAACCTACAAAAATATTACAGTGGCCCTGGTCTGCCTTTTTGTTACATTCTTACAAAGGTATGAGCCGTCAAAAACCTGAAAACTGGTACGAGCCACCTTAAGGGGAAAGGTTCACAGTAATACGGCTCCGCATAAATATGGGACATTGATCAAGTGTGAGGTCAAGATGGCTTGATATTGGTCAAGTTCTCTTTTTTTTGCGTGTTTATGGACCGAGACGAAGTCGACTCCATAATTCGCAACAAAAAGAACGAGGCCAATATCCAGCCATCTTGACCGAACAAGCTTTGTCAATAAAGGATTTATTATATGGCTTTCGGGGAGATTTTTCTTGCGAGACACAGCGGGTAATCCCGAGCGGGCAAGAGAGCGCCATCTTGCTCGCTCGGGTAGCCAATCAGAGAGCAGGATTTGATTCATCTTGCCTGCTGACGGAGCTAGCCATATAATAAAAGGATATGCTTCTCCATTTTAAACCAGTGACATTCTGAGTGAAGATAGTCTATATCTAAGGTTAACTTTTGTTGCAAACCACAAATAAAAACGTTCAAGGTTTGCTACTACTCTGAGAACAAAGAACTTGACATGAAGAAATAGTATTGCTATAAAGTAAACAACTGAGTGACATTCAGCAGGTAAGAAGCAATCGTTAAAATTTCACACTAACAAAGCTTCTGACAAAATAATTGAGCCGCCAGTCAGGACCAGAAGCCGGGTTTCCCTTATCGCAAAGATAATAACTTCCGATAGCTAGGGAAAATTAAGCGATGAAAAAAGAAATGACGGTGTATTTGACGCTTTCCCATTTTGTCTTTATGTTTTCTTGTTTAACTTTGGTCCTTTCGCTTATCAACACCCGAATTCACTTTTCTTACACTGACTCAGATTAAGCCAATTCGGATATACTAGAGGATATTTGATCAACCTTTAATAATAAACCAAACGTCAAGTGAATTAATTTGAATGAAATCATGCATTCTAAGCTGGTTAATAATACCAAATATTAAGAAATACATCGTTGGAAGCGTTTTCTGCAAGCAGTCACACAGTCTAGTTCAACAACAACAACAGAGGATAAAGGGTGAGGGAGTCAATCCTGCCAATGAGCGGTTCTCAATTGAGTAAGACTAAAACCAAGTTATCACCCTAGCCAATCGGAAAGGACAATCCAGTGATCCGATCAATTTTTTCAGCAGATACATTTAGCTAACGTGTGCGAGAGAGTCACGATTGGTTTTGGTTTAACTTCTGATTGGATGACAAAGTGCTGCGAGAGTGTACAAACCAATGAAATTAAATGGCAATGACTTTTCACAGTCAAGTGAAAACTGCTCTATTCCCGAGGTAATACCTGTCAAGTTATTTTTCAGATCACTCCGGAGTCTCCCGGTTTCGGAAATCCTAGGAGAGTCTAGAAAAACCAATTCTGTGACGCGGATTTTGGTCACGTGGACAGCCCAAGCGACTTCACACGGATTTCTTCCTCCACAAAACATCCGCGACACGCGCGTGGTAACATTCACTCACTCACTCACTCACTCACTCACTCACTCACTCACTCACTCACTCATTCATTCATTCATTCAGTCAGTCAGTCAGTCAGTCAGTCAGTCAGTCAGTCGATCGATCAATCGATCGATTGATGAATCAGTCAACTTACTGATAAGATGACCTCCCAGCCCCTCCCTAGTGGGTCACTTGCTGTTACTTTGTAGCGCCTTTCAATTGAGTTTCGGTTGATCATCCAAACCTTTGGATTAACACACATAATCAAAATAAGAAACACCGGTCTGACACAAATACCACAGCTATCCTTCCTATACAGTTTACACATAAAAAAAATCAAGCATTTATCCAAGATGAAAACAATATCTTGCAGGTATGGATTCAAACATCCTAGCTTGAGCAAACGTTTTCACAGTAATGTAACGTACATGGTTGTTAGGTCCCACAGATAGAGACGCCACCTGAAATTGTTGAGACTGCCACGCAGTGCCTTCTGGGTAGGTATCCGTGATGTGCTGACGATACCAGCATGTACCTGTAGAAATGGCGCGAAAATCAATCACTGTCCAATTGCTCTAAAAAGGCTCACACAGAAATATCATTTCCATGCACAACTTTATCATGATAAGACACCGTGAGTAAAATGACAGACCCTTCCTTAAAGTCTCAATTCTTCACGTATCAAAATCCGATATTTGATGACATTTTCACGACCTTATTCACTCCACGGATTCTCTCGACCTAATGTCATTTTTCCTTTCCTCTCTAAGGTCTGGAGGGTAATTTTTTGTTGTGTTTTATTATAACCGTGCGAGCCATGTTTATAAGACTACAAATATTCACCTTATCTATGTTCAGCCAGACTCTATAAAGTTAAAGATATTGCCGACACAACGTTGCATTTCGTGGCCGTCCTATTCAAAACAACAGCGTGACATGACCGAGTCCTGCGTATTTTGGAGAACGTGAACCATGACAGTAAATGTTTCGTATTCCAATGCGAACGCTGGCACTAACAGCAAGTTTTGAGACCAATAGACTTGCTGATAGGACCCAGCTAAGTACTGCACATAATCTGAAGGTTAAATATAACTTCAAGTTACTAGGCGTTGTCCTCGGCATAGCCCGCTTAAGAGGCTGTCTCTGTAAGAACCGACCACTGATTTTACTTCGAAAATTCGATTTTTCTCATAAGCTGGGATTTCGAAGCCCTTACCTAGTCAATC